GTGATTTATTAATAATCAGCAGCAACTTGTATCTTTAAATAAATTCTTACCAAATATAAGTTTTCGTAACACATTTACCTGATTCACAGGTTTTCTACCCTCTAATTTTGTTGTAACGATAAACTTTCTGTACATTTTTAGTTCGACATTGTCATTTGAAGGAACAGTACTACAAGTCATCCAAAAGAATTACAGGTTGAAGAACTTGGAGAAATTATGGGTAATCTTCGCAGCGTTGCTCAGCAGATTAAAGAAATCAAACAAATTGTTGATTCCTTCGAAATTCAGTTTGTCTCCGGTCTTGTGTAACCAGCATGCTCACTCAGATGGTAGGATAATTTTACAGAAAAATTTAAAGCTTGTTTATCTTTTAACCTTTGTTTTTATTACTTTTAAACCCTGCTATTTAACATCACTCATAGTTTAAAAATGTAGAATCTATAAGACTTTACCTTTTGAATTCATATTGAATTAGGCGCGATTTTGCATTACTACCTTATCAATGAATTTAGTTTTTTTTAAATGGATGAAAGGTTCGTATCTCATTAGGCTTAGCTTTCTAGTGATGGTGTAAAATACAGAAGTGTTACGGAAACTGCTTTATTGGAAAAGTTCTTCATAATTCAGTAATTCAGCTTGTTTTTCATCAAAAAAATTTCAGCCTTATAGTCGTCAAAACGAATCTGTACAACGACGTCATTAGCCAATTTAATCAGATCCCAGACTATAACTTCGGCTCTGAATTTCCCCACAGAGTTACATTTGGTTCCAGAAAAAGAGATCTATGTACAGACTTCGGCGACACTGTCACCAGTATACATAGTCTTATTAAGAATCCTCCTTTTAGACTTCCCGTATTAATGTATCATCGTAAGTATTTTTCCAGAATATCGTTGACAAATGTTGATTCTGTTATTGCCATGTGATTTCCCCTGTAAGCAATGAGGTGTAATCTGCCACTCTCATTTAACGTCTTCAAGCCAATTCTGTCCTGAAAGCATCGATTTTGCGTATCTGCGGTAAGAAGCTTTTATTGAGATGTCCAGTTTAGGGGTTTTGAGGTTGTATTATGACAACGATTTGCTCGGGCGTATGAACAATATACGCCTCAGAAAATATTCAGGATTTTGAAGGCCTGATCTCTCATCGGTAAGATGACATGTATTAAACTTTTTGACTATTGTACCATTTTTAATAGCCATCTACTCATTGCAGTGGGGCTATCAAGACCGCTGCTTTTTAGTTATTTCTTGTCATCAACATCTGTCATCAAACCAAGTTTTACTGTGACAAAAGAGCTGATATTTTACAGTCTGAATCTTACTTCCAGATAGATCCTGGTTTCCTCCATTGTTAGAAGCCTTGTTGGATCGCCCTCTTTGAAATATCCGAACCACTTAAATTACATGATTTCTTCATAAGTTTCTAATATTTTTTCGGTTTTTATGTACTTAGCCCACCTCTGCTAGGATTGACATTGCATGTAGAAAATTTTCTTTGTTAAATCTTGAAAGCATACCTCGGTTTCCTTTGGAACAACAACTGTATCATCCAGAAATTTTACTAGAACAAGCTTCTGCAGTCTTTCCAGATTTTTTTTATATGTCTCATTGTAAACCTGCAACAATCGTATGAACTTCTTTTTCAAGTTGTACGTTTAGAGCATTTTAGATATGTAATGTTGATAGCGAGTGAACAAAAATAGAACAAGAAAACAAAAAATAGTGATATTTACCTTTTCATTATTTATATCTGCTAAAAAAATACTTTTTTCCTTATAGGTTTCTTCTGCATACGGGTCATGCCAGTACTGAGCTTGAATGGAACTGAAAGATAACTGTCAGAAAAAAAAAAGTAGAGAAAACTTCACTAAAGTACTCAGTTGAATTTATTACGGCTTAAAAATTGCCAATATTTAACTTCCTTACTTTCTTTGGACAAACCCGACGTAAGCACCGAAATCAAGCAATTTTCGGACAGAGTCACAGAAACTTTTTTGTCCTGGGCAGTAAGGCAGACCATAGACTCCTTGTTGCTGACCTCCCATGGAAACGAGGTTCTTCATGGGAGGTGATGGGCACCTCTGCGCGAGGCCTCTCCTGAAGTTACATTACTTCTTGGATTTTTTGTCCTACTCATTCATTCTTGTGTAAATAACTGCTTACAAAAATTGTCCTCCCTGCGAGAAGCCAATAGCATGGTACCCGTTCTTCAACTTCTCGTCATTCTTGATCACTTCACAAACTTCTTCGATTTGATTATTAACATTACCAAAATAGCTACTCTCCACGTCCTGTAAAATGAACAGGTGTAAGCAAGTAATTTCAGAGCAGCGATAAGGGAATCTTGTTTCTGGATTGAAAATACATTGGAATACTTTATTATTATTGATCCCCGGAACGTTCGGGATGGAAAGATTGGCAAGCTGTTGGTAAGCAGTAAAGCTTATCTATGTTCTAACAGCGCGACTGTTTAGCACCTTTTCTCAGACTCACCTGAAGGTAATTTTTACCAATCCTGATTGAGTGCACGTAAACTCCAGGTATGTACTCTTGAAGGATTTTGATTATCCTTCCCATACTGAACTGGCTACAGCAGCTGTCGCCTAAAAAGTACCAAATAAGCAATCACTTTTCTAGCTAGTTGTATTATACCAAGAGATTCAGCAGAAATGCTATTACTAGTAGCTTTTGAAAGCATTATCTTACCCATCCCATGCCATATCACGATCGGTGTAGGCTCAGTCTCACGAAGGAAGTCGAAAACAGAATTGCTGAGCTTAGCGCTGCTGCAGGGTAGTAGCAATAATGTTACTAGCATCAACATCTTGCCCGTTTCTACAAACAAGTTCAACTGTTTCAACATTGATCTGAAATTTAGTCATTGCAACCGATGTCACTCTTATCTTTATTTCTTCATTTTTGCGCTCCGTAAATAATGCTGATGCAAAACCATTTTGACGAAATACAACACCGGGCACTCCATTGCACCAATAATTTTGTTTCATTGCCGTTGAACCATGTGTCGGTAAATGAGCTAAGTCAGTTTTTGAAAACAATTGTTCAAAATAACTCAGATATCAAGGCGCAAGGCCTATCTGGCCATTACGCTGTCATGCAGTAAATATCCTTTGAAGGCAAAGTAGCTGAAGCGGCACTCGTCCTCGCACTCGTTACTTCGACACCTTTGAATACTTTTAAATTACAGCTAGCAACTGGTCATTATATGAAATAGTCAGTGTTGAAAGATATGAAGGCTTTTATTGCGAGCCGTTAGCATCTTTCTGCTCGGTGACTGGTCGAGCAAGAAACTGGCGAGATATATCAAGTCAGCCTTTAATAATAAAGAAACTGATAATTTTAATGATGATTTGGTAGTGGCGTGACGTAAAAATTAAAAGAAGGCACAAATATGTTCCAAAACCTTCATTTTTGTGAGCGTCGAACAATTGGTTTTTATATGAAATAGCAATCAGGTGCAATGCGAGAGAGAAGTTATTGTTCAATTAGTTTATTAGAGTGTGACCACCCTTAAGCAGCCGAAATTGTAAAGATTAATTGGTTTATTCTCGCTGCAGAACATCAATGAACTACTTGCTTACAAACTGAGCACAAGTTTCCCGCTGCAATTTAAAAACGCAGGCAGCCTCTGCTGTAACATTTGCCTCGTGTCTGGTAATAGAATGCCTTCTGCTAACACTTACGAAAGATAACTAGAAAACGGACAAGAACATCTAACCTCAACCAAGGACACGTTAAAAGTCCATTTTTTTTTTTTAAAGCATGATAAACTACTGCATCTCCTCAACTACTAGTACCATTAACTGAATGATGACCGATAACAGACGTAAAAAATTCTCCCTCTTTCGCCCCTTATCTGAGAAGTCCATTTCAAGTTCCATGCAAGCATAAATCACCTCAAAGGCTTGTACTAGCAAAGAGTTAAACTAGTTTCGTTTTTAAAAAAAAAAAAAAAAAAAAAAAAAAAAAAAAAAAGGTAATACCTTCTTTTTAGTACATTTTCTAGATAAGGATAAGTGCGAATACAACAGCGACTGGACATGTTACCCAAATGGACTACAGTATTTAAACAATAGAACTGAACTTATGCAAAAGAAAAAAATGAAAATGAGAAACAACTGGTTATCATAAAACTTACAACACAACTGAAACTAACAAAAATGTCAATCGAACGGTACCCAAAAGTACTCGTAACAGCCAAAAAAAATAGTTAAAGTTCATTATACCCACATCTTAGCAACAATGAGATGGTCAGTGCCAGAGCAATAATGAAGGACAATTACAGCGATTACTTTCCATCAAACCCTCTCTTTTACCAATTATAACAGTCCGCTAGGACAGAATGTTCAAAGCACTGGGCCTACTCCTGCACCAAAGGAAATCTCAGCAACCGTGTGCGAAACAGGTGCAGATATAGCGCTTTGTTTTTTGATCCCAGCAGATCACTAAAAAACCGACTACCTCGGAATTTTTTTAGCAAATGCCAATCAAAATCTACTGTTCTTGAATCTGAACCTTATTAATCAAAGACCACTAGCAATACGATACTTTGTACCATATGCCCACTTGGCAACTAACAAGTTTGCTCCCACTAAAATCTGTATCACGTGCTAGGCCGCATAGTTCCCCAAATCCTAAACATGTGAGGAACCCGCATAGCATGAAAATTATCTGAATTCCCAGAAAGTTTACTTCTTTATCGCTTGTAATCATCCTTTTCTTGCTTCTTCTTACACACCAATAATTAGTGTGGAAGAAATACCAGGGCATATTACAAAGACCAACCCGCAAACCTGGATCACCAAATAGGTGCTAAGAAATGTAACAGTAATCAATAATGGCCCCCCTCCCTATGTCATTGCGGGAAATGAAAAACAAAACTTCCGCACAACTAAGACATTATTTTGAAAGGTAAATTGGTTCAAAGTATGAGGTGGCCTTTGATACGCATGCACTGAGCAGCAAAGAAATAAGAGAAATCCTGTAACACTCCAGAAAATATATGATTTAAATTTTGTCATTCTAAACTGGAATGACAGCAAAGAGTAATCTTGAGAAACTCAGGTGCCAGATAACTGTTCTTCAACAGAATGGTGAAGCACTCTGCCATCATCGGTACCCAAAGTAATCAAACGTCCCTACAGAACTCGATAATTCATGTCTGCAACAATTCATGATTAACATTACATCAAAAACGCCCTACCTTTTACATGTGTAGAGAAGTAGCCTGTGACAAGAAGACCAAAAGATGAAGATGGGATATAAAATTCCACCCTATTTAAACCTTTGATGCACTTGATGCCTTCGCGTCAAGTTTGC